CTCCCGCGCACGCACGCCGCCCCGCGCGCGCCTACTGGACAAAAGCGGCGGTTGGCGCTGGCTTCAACGGTCCGCGGCGGCACGCGCCCCGCCGGTGGGGGTGGGGCGTCGGTTGGACGAGCCTGTGGGTGCGGCGGGGGCAGAGAGCGCGGAGGAAGGGCGCTTCGGGGAGCTGCAAGCGGTGCAGCGAGTCCGCCAGGGCGGGGAAAGTGGAGAGGGAGGAAATCCTTGCTCCCGGCTACACGGCTCTGAGGCCGTGGGCTCACAGCAGTGCAAGGAAGGAGTGATGAACCCCTTGTGATAGCGATTGTCAGTAGAGCTCCAAAAATTTAATTTGCTAAGGTTGTAGCAATCTGAACACTTCAATCAGAAGAGTAGTCTTTTTTATATTTTTTATGAGGATGTCTTTGCAATACATAATATATTCATCATGGAGTATTGGTATATATGCGTGCTGCATCTTGAGCCTTTTTTTAAAAAAATAGTGAAAAATACGTAGGCCTTCACCTATAGTTATATGCCTTCCCCGGTTTATGTATAGACATATTTTTTCTCCTACTGCCTGACACCTGACAGAGCCTGTCATTTAACATTTATTTCTTCAATCATACCCCAATTAAGGAAGATGGAGAATCAAGTTTGCCCAGCTTTTGAAGTAGTGATGGCAAATCTTTTATTTTATCTTATTTTTTGTCTTTTTGAGACAAGGTCTCACTATGCAGTTCAAACTGGCCTTGAACTCACTTTGTAGCCCAGGCTGGCCTCAAACTCGCAGCAACCCTCCTGCCTCAGTCTCCCGAGTACTGGGATTTCAGACATGTGCCACCATGCCGGCTTGGCGAACCTTTTAAGTGATAAGTGCCCAAACTGCAACCCAAAACCCACATTTTATTGCAAAGTGCCAACGCTCCAATTAAACCTGAAAACTGAGGTTTTAGTTTAGAAAAAACAACTCATACATTAATATCTTTTGTCTTAAAAATAACAGACATGCCCTAGGTTCACCACTACTATTTTAAAGCATTGAAATCAAAATCACCTCCAATCACTTAATTCTTTAATACATTTTTCTCTGTTACTTTGCTCTGTTAAGATAGTTCCACACAATTTTAAGACAATAAAGGAAAACATCAAACTGAAATTACGACAGCTCTGTATTAGTACAATAGATGAACAGCAGTACAGCAGATGAACATTGTACCCTTCTCAAAGAAAAGCTGATTCCTGAATGCTCTAGATTTGAAAATCTGTATTTCACTAACTACTGTACCAGCACTTCAAAGGAAACATAATCCAAGTCAAAAGGAAGAACCCTTCCTATTCCCATTTTACCAAAATCATCCATTTCTTCTCTATGTGCTCTGTTGCCAATACCACTATCTTTCTGGTTGGACCTAATCAATGTAGCCTCCTTTAACTCTTTTCTCCTAGGCCCAAATACAGCCATCAGGAACAGTCATTTTCTCTTCAGCGGTGTTGATTACATTTGTCCTCTTGAGCAATAGCAATAACCTAATAACTCAGCCTCCAGCCTATTCCTCCTCCAACCCATATTTCACATATTTATTTGCGCCTGGAAAATGCCCTGCACTATAAGAAACAATGGAGATCCACTGATAGTAAGAAGCAGTTAACACTATCTTGAGTTATTTCTCCCCTGCCCAAGATCCCTTTCTTGCACATAGAATTTGTAGTTTACATACAGCCCTCTCTAATTGAGTTTCTCTGGGCCATTCTGGAATCATCTCCCACAGTACCACCAATGCCTTCTGCTCCTGAAGGAGCTGGTGTCCTGCCTTCAGATCAGTTGAGGCTGCCTCACATTTGGACTATCTTTCTGCTGTATTCTCCTGTTGAAAACTTAAATCTTTAAAGTTTCAGCTACCTTTCCCAAAAAGCCTTCAGCAGTCATGCTAGTTAGAACATCTTCCTTTTGTCTATGTTCTCATAGCATATTATTTGTA